ATAACACGCAAGCCAGTGTATTTTTTTGCTTTCTGAAAGTCGAGCAACATCGCAAGTGCAGGATGTGCAATCGAATTAAATGTTTCACTGAAGTCATAATATAAAATGCATTGCTTAATGTTTATAATAATTTTTACTGTTTGAAAGTGTACAGACAATGGTGGTACATCGGTGTTTTTCGACGGATTACTTTTAGGTTTTACGTTTTACTTTAAGTTTCTTACAAACTTATATGCAGCAACCCTACCTATTATTTACACGCATTGTTTCAATTGTCTTTAGCCACTGTCTTTAGTTTACCTTGAGCCTCTTTATATAAATGCTTTCCCCATCACTGCAACAAATTGTTATAGTTAATAAATTATAGTTTGCCAATACTACAGGGTGTCCCAAAAAAAACGAAAACTATTGAAATCACTCATTGTTAAAATTTGAATGGCGTGTTCACGAATTTCAGCCCGTGGGGATTTAATGCAGCTTATAAAATGCTAAATGCTTTGTGTTTCTAGAGAAAGGGGACATATCGAAGGACATGGTACTTGAGATGCACATTTAAATAATGTTATCCATATTTGTAAATTGCGAATATTGTTAATAAATATCATTTTTGCGAACAAGCAAATTTGACTGCATCATATGCATGCTTAAAAGTGCTTAAAATGCTTATGACAACCCCGATTTATACACTTGTGGGCCCAACAGAGTGCTTAGGCATTCAAACTCTAACAATGGCATTGTTATGGGTGATTTCAATAGTTTTCGGTTTTTTTCGGACACCCTGTATATCTATAATTGTTGAGTTGTTCAGTTGTTCAGTTGTTGGGGTTTTATTTATTTTATGTTTGTGTTGCTGATCAAAGTTGGACTGGATAATATATAATAGCATTACTTTTTCAATTTCCAAAGGGTTATTTTACTCCCCCTAACATCATCTGATTTAACATACGAAAGGGTAATATAATTTGGGCAATGAATATATTGAGTTACTCTTTGTTTTTTAAATTTCAATCATGCATAAATTGTATCCTGGCACAAAAATGATCTCGACACCCAAATTAGTTGGCAAACGATACTCCGCTGTTAAATATAAAGATTACAAAGTTATGGCGACCCTTCTCTGTACAGATATAGGCTGGCGTAGGACTATTGTTTTTCACTTGATATCATTCTCTATTACATTCACAACAAAATCAAACGTCTGTTTTGTAACTCTAAAGTTTTCACACCATTGTACATCGGTATAAAACTCGTCTCCTAAAAGAAACCAAGCATCTGTACGCAGTGGCGTAGCCAGCCCGCCGATTTAGTCATGCTATGTAAATTTTATGTTATTATCATTATTCATTTCTTTAGAAATTCATTGTTTTCACAGTCAATGAACACCAAAATATTAGCATAGCATGACTAAATTGTCGGGCTGGCTACGCCGCTCTCTGTACGAGAATGCATGCATAATATATTCCTTCTCTTGGTGCGTTCAGAGCAAGACACAGAAGGGCAATTAATCGTACTTTCCTTTTCATACATTGGTTTTCAATCTTTGTAACTATATTTTTGCATTTTTTTACTTCTTAGCATTTTACTTATCTGTTCAAATTCTCTCTTATTGCTGAATTTTCGAGTATAATATATAGAATTACATTCCTCTCATTTGGCGCTGCCATATATATTGCTTCTGACTGGCCATGCGGGGTCCAAGATTTGACGGTGCTTTGCACGGGGAGAGATTTTTGGCACGGCACAGAGAGATGAACGTGCCTTGCCGTGCCAACATTCAACACTCCCGTGCCCAAACACTTGCAGTGCTATGCCAAAAAAGTTGTAGTGTGAACGGAGCTGCACTCAAAGTCGCATTGTGTTTGCTAAAGTCTATTACAGTTCACTCGAAAGGCCTATATAGCTACTATAGTAATAAGTATCATAATCGTATCAACATTGCCTTTCCCAGCAGACAATTTTGCGAAATAATAATATAAAACATACTCCGAAAACAAAAGTTGTTAAGCAAAAAGACACAAATTTCAGGTGAAATTAATTTTCATCTGATATCTCATAATTATATATAGATGTGTGTCTTGTTTTTAACAAAGAAAAAAAGTACTTTGGCGAAACGATAAAGCTAATTATTTATTATTACACTTTATTTATTGTAATCATAAGGTTGAACATGCAAGTCTACAAGTTAAAACTTCCGGCAACAGTCTGTGATTGCCGGCACTAAACATTTATCTACTATCGGAAAATCTCCTGTAAGAATTCAAAACAGCACATTTCATGCAAGTTTAATAACAACCGTACAACTCAAGCCTCATTGTAGGATATCTTTCCCATGATTGTACGAATCCCACGAATGTACCGAGCGTAGATTTGAGTTTTAAATGTGTGGGTAACACGAATGGAGTCTCTATCGCTATTGCCTTGAAAAACCTAGCAAGTCAAAAAATACCACGATTAGTTTGATAAAAATTAATATATATCTCGATGAATTATATGTAACACATTTCCATGCAACTAGAGCGGCATTTGACCGCCCGGTTGGGGCAACAAGCACAGAAAATTTCGCACTAAGCCTGTTGGACAATATTTGCTTGGTGGTTTAAACACAACATGCACAGTTTTTTGTAATCCATGTTAACGCGAACCAAATTCAAAAGCGTGTAAATTTTGCGGCAATTGGGCGATTACCTACCGCCACACAGAGGCAAATAGCCACTTTAAAATATTGTAACAATTTTTTAATTCTAGTTTTGTAGTTGTTCCCTTTCAAAGTAAAATTTACTAATGAGATAATTAGATGTCATCACAATGTACATAGTAATTTATTATGGTAAGGTATTAGCCTGTCAATATGCGCGTATTCCGACCAACACTTGGAATATCTCACTTCTCGCTTAATCCGTGTTTTCACAAGATAATTTCTGAAGCTGACATTTTAAAAACTTTATTTTGAATGCTTAAAAATGGAAGTGGAATTTTATAAATAATTTGGCGCCAAAAGCGCGCTTTAAAGTTAATAAACATTGATTGAGGATCGCGCGCTTTCGTACTTGTAAGAAAGCTTTTTAGCGAAAAATAAATATGGGTCAGTCAAGAAGAGAATCAAGAACGCCAAGGGCTTAGTAAAGTCTGCAAACTCTGGTCGCGGTTAAAGAGCATGCCAGCGAGTATTTGTATGCTACGATTCCCACGAAGAAAATGCGCAAAACAGAAATGAGATTGCATGACGAGATGCACACGGTACATTATGTTACTTGTTCACCAGTTTAAAATGATAACGAATATTAACCATATTGCAAGGATTCATTTTCTATTGCCCAAATTTTGATCGCAACAAGCAAATACCGTTTGTGCGTATAAAGGGACCTCTTCGGTGAGTGACTGAATATTGTGTAGTTGAGTGCAATAGCCGGCCTGTAGACTATTATACCCTATGGCCTATGACCATGTGGTGAGTATCTTTACATTTCTTTCACGAGTTACCTTATAAAGCATGTAATAAAAAGTTATTAGGTTATGCGTTGACAGTCTGTGCGAATGTTTAAGCATTTATTGTCCTTCAAGCCTATCTATGAACATAAATATTTAATATGAACAAACATTATCTTTAGGTTGCCATATTAATTTGCATAGCATATGCCATGATAAGATTATTTGAGATTTTGTACAGTTCTTAACAGATCATGTACATGTGATGTTTTACAACATTTATACATCTATTATTGCTGTAATTAATTGCAAATTATCTAAATCATCAAAAATTGATTGCATACAGTCTGCCATTAACTTCTGAGCTGTTATGATTTTCAATCGTTGGGCAGCTAGTTGGGATAGATACACCGTGGTATACACTTAACTTCCCAATTATCACAGCAATGCTATATATGAAACATCATTGCTCCTGGAGTATGTCAGGCGAAATAAAAAGTGCATTGTTGAATATATATGTAATTATTTTTAAGTACTTAAAAAACACAGTCTAGCTTGGACTTCTAAGCTGTTAAGATTTTTAATCTTTGGGCAGCTGGTTGTCAAGACTTCAGTCTTTTGGCAATCAGTTCATAGCTATGGCGCTGTGGTAAACACATAACTTCCTAAGTTATAGCAATGTTTTTATAGTATATATGAAATATCATTGCTTCTGGAGTATGTCAAGCAAAATGAAAAGGGGAATTGTTGAATATATATGTAATTATTTTTATTTACTTAAAACACAGTCTGGCTTGGACTTCTAAGCTGTTAAGATTTTTAGTCTTTTGGCAATCAGTTCATAGCTACACTGTGGTAAACACTTAACTTTCTAAGCTATAGCAATGTTGTAGTATATATGAAACATCATTGGTGGCTAAAGTAATTCTAAGTATTTCACTCTCTATTGATAGTATCAGTGTTGTTTTAAAAGACATGATCAACATGTGTTTTCTGCAATATCAGTTCATAGTTTCACTGTGGTAAATGCTTAGTGTTCAGTAGCACTAGCTAGGTACCAACATTGAACAGTACACATGTGTGCATTTGAATACACTTTGCTACAATCAATGGCAATACTCCTAATCTGCACAAACCACACTTGGCAGACTGATTTATTTCAGGTTAGTGAACATAGTTAACGTAGTAGAATTTTGACGAAACAATAAATGCCAATTTTATGTTTTTCAATTTCATTTATTGTATGATAATAAGATGAAACATGCAAGTCTACATATTAAAGCTTAACCTCTCTGTGGTTACATTCACTAAACATTCAACTATTGGGAAATTTACTCTAATGATTCAAAAATGATTTAACAGTACGTTAGTATATAGTAGAACTGTGACAAAACAATAAATCCCCCATTTTTTCTTTTTTTTTATTTGTATTTATTGTATAATTATAGGATGTAACATGCAACTCTACAAATGAAAGCTTAAGCATAGTGATTACCGCGGGCACTAAACATTTTAAATTATTCGGAAATTTAGTATCAAAACAGTACGTTTCATGCAACAGATGCAAGTTCCAATCAGTGACAACCGTACAACTCAAGTCTCATTGAAGGATAGTCTTTCCATGATTTTGGCAACACACGAATGTATCGAGCTACGATTTCATTTTTAAATGTGTGGGTAACAATGGAGTTTTGATCTTTGTTGCCTTGAAAAACCTGCAAAAAACCACCAGGATTAATTTTATTAAAATTTATAAACTTCGAATTATTATAATTTTTATGTAACACTTTTCCATGCAACTAGGGCCGCATTTGACCGCCTGGTTGACACAACCATGAGAAGACTGTTTTGGACCTAAGTCCGTGCGGAAATATTCGCTTTACGGTGGAAATACAAAAGTCATGCCCTCAATACTGCCATATTTTAATGTAATTGAACAGAAACAAATAGCCCTTGTGACATTTTTTTATTAGTTTTAATTTTTTTGTGTTCCTTTTATATCTAAAATTACTACAGAGATAATTAGATTTAATCACCATACACATTATTTTTTTGGGAAGACATAGATATAGCTAGACCCATTTTTTGCGACATTTCTTTAAATTTTCGTAGAAGAGCACGTGAAAAGCCCGAGCCAATTGTAAATATATGTTTTGTTTATTTGATTACCTTCACAGTCCCAGTCTCTATATAAGCAGTCCAATTATTACCATTGTTGCTGTAAGCAATCGAGTAAGAGATCGCCCACTGGTGCCCCCGATAACACGTTCCTTGAGTTGCAAATCCTGTGACAGCTGTTTTTTTTCCAAGATCAACTTGTAACCACGAGCCAACTCTTCCTTCTGCAGTTGGTGCCCAACAACAAGAACTGCCAGTCTTATTCAATCTTGCGAAGTAAGGGTTATAATACTCGAGATTACCAAAAGTTGATGATGCTGTGATTGCCGTATTGGGTATTTTGCCGATTTGCATTCCCAGTGGCTTGGGATCTATGCATGGAACTAAAAAAAAGTTGAATTTCAAAATATGATTGCCCAACTAAATACTATTCAATTATAGGTGTCATCCACGACCATCATCCTAATTGAAGATAGGCAACTTTCGCTTACGAAGTAACGATGTAAACAAATGTGAGAATATCAACACAAAATAGTAAAATTAATAAAGATTTCTTTAAACATTTGACTATAAAGTTCTGCGATAAGATGTATTTGCTGATATTCATGTTAAAAAGTTAAAAAGGCGACATTGAAGTCGACAATAAGAGTTATAAATTGTTCGGGTTTAAGTACTAGGCTTAGCTAGTGTGGTCATTAGAATAAAATCTTCGACTGTCCAATACAAAAGGTTTTACACGGGTAGGGTCACTTTGAATATCTAAAGTAGGTTGACGTGCTTTGATATAAAGCATTTCATATTTAGGCAATAGAATTTGTTCTGGCCTTTTATTAAGACTTTAAACTTGCTTGTATATTAAGCATGTCCGCACTCCCATGAGCGTCATAAAGGTGTGTACCAATCCTTAATTATTAATATATAATTTTGCGCTCAGAAATGCGTTAATGGTGATATCGTGCTGCATGTGTATATCGACGATATAATCTGCAAAGACCACATTTAAATTTATACGTGATGCATTGCTGCTCCAATTTTTTATTCGCAAACACTGGTTGTATACATCCCCTACTTTTCGTCTCAGGTCACTCATATATACAAGCAATGCAGTTTGATGTCTTATTATAAGAAAATGCCAGAACAAACTGACTCGATTGCCTATTTTATGAATTGCTTTATATTAAATACTGTTAACCCACTTTAAGTATTCAAAGCGACTCCATTCGTGCAAACATTTTTGACACCATTGCCGGAAATTTTATTCTAATTGACCACTCTATTATCTCAATTTACTGCTTAAAGTGCCTATATCACTCGTGGGATCTTTATGCATTTGAAAAAAACGTAAAAAGTTAGTTAATATATTAAAAAACGTTTTTTGATTTAGTGCAGTAATTTCGAAGATACAAGCCTTTAAACTACTTGCGGTTCCTGAGTCCTAACCCCCTGGGTTTAAATACGGCTATTCAATTTGAAACTGCCCATTGTTTACAGGGGCCTGGGACTCAGGAACCGCATGTAGTTTAGAGGCTTGTATCTTCGAAATTATTGCACTAAACCAAAAAACGTTTTGTATTATATGAACTAACTTTTTACGTTCTTTTCAAATGCATGAAGATCCCACGAGTGATATAGGCACTTTAAATTCGAACATTTTATCGTAGAACTTTATGTATACGTAGTCAAAATTGTAAAAAATGTGTAAAAGTATAAAAACGCACAACAGTTCTAATTTGCCTAAAAAAAGTGATTGGTTGAATAGAATCGAACGCTGATGTAAGTTCTTTTTAGTCCATCCCATGCAATGCAGTGAGTCTCGCTCTATATAATGGCTGTTTAGCGAATGAAGATTCTTAGTTCATGAAAGCCATGAGTGTTTCAGCAAATTATTAGGAATTAACGGTGGCCCACTGTTTTCATAGTAACTTTAACTTAAAGTAACATTTAAGGTGGCTCGATACAGTTTTCAAGAATTCCATTGTTCATCACTTTGACACGTTCAAACAACGCATTTTTGTGATTTATTCTAGAGATATTGGGTTTTTTTATATATTTTGATGTTTCTACTTTTGATACATTGTACGAAACATTGTACGATCGTTGCAGTACAGAACGGGCTTTTCAAACAAATACCACATAATCTCGCTCTCTCAATAAGTCACAGCGTTCGTGTTACGTTATTTACATGCATTCTCGTGCCCTTTTATATATATATATATATATATATATAATATATATATATTTATATATATATATATTATATTATATATATATATATATATATATATATATATATAAGTATAATCTTGTTGTTCGAAAAGACAAAAGAGTGCTCAATACTATAAGATGTTATAGTAGAGCGAATTAAGTAGATGAAATTAAGTCTTAAAATGAATTTATTTAGCTATCGCTACTCTGAGTTTCACGATTATCTCGATCTTCAGGCGATTAAATTCAGTTCGTTGGATTGCGTGATTAACGGTCGGCTCACGCGCACTGTTAATGTTTGCGCGTGCGTTTGAAATTTCCAGCATAAAATTTATCGCGATGGCGGCATTTAGCATATAGTTCTGATCTTTTGTTTAAAAGTATATGCTCATCAGCTTTCATAAGGCAAAGTTTTTCTTCAATGCAGAGATTACAACGCTTTCCACCAGGTTTGTGAGGATAAGCATGACGCAGAATTGACCACTTCAACTCGAACTCCGTATTGTCTCTTTCAATCCCCAGATATACTTTGAGAGCTCCGTCTCCTTTTCATACTTCTCGTTGTTAATCGACTTCTTGTGGTTACGGAATCTTTCTTTGAACGAATTTGCAGTCATTCCAATATATTCCTTAATTTGCCCGTCGACTGATGCCACCCTTGCCTTATACACAATGCTTTTAGTTAAGCAGTTCTTATTCAAAGGGCATTCTTTCGGATTTCTACAGTTGCAATTATCTTGAGTTGGAGCGACTATGGGTTTGGATAAAACTTGCTTGTTATGGCGAGATATTACACTTTTAACGTTGGGCATGCAGCTATAGCTAACTTTTGTATTTCGGTTGAATAATTTGTGCAAAGGAGTTGTAGAGGGGAAGTGTTTATCGATAAGTTGTAGGAATATCCGAGCGATGTTTGTTTTCACTGATTTGCTAAATGGGGGGTTAAACCAGATGACGTTTCTTTGACGCTTACGTTTCGTGGATGGTGGAGAGGGCGGACAGCTGGACGAATATTGGAGGGGAACGTTGTAATTGCTCAACCCAAGTGCGTTTTCGTAGAAAGGTTTGCATTCATCAAAGGATTGCTTGTCGGAAGAAAGTGCTGAGATACGTTTGTTGATGGATTTGGGAATTTGCTTTATGATTGATGGTGGATGGTTTGATCGGCTGTTGAGATACAATGGTTCGTTGTTTGGTTTCCTGTAGGGTGTGTATTTCCCATTGGTTAAATTCAGTGTAATGTCCAAAAAGTTGACAACTTTTCCACAACGGTAACGCTTGGAGAAAACGAAGCAACGATTCATTGTTTGATGTAACCATGGGCAGTTATGATGGTGCCGAGATTTGTGAGTTGATTGGTCTATTTGTCCTAAACAGACTTGCGGATGAATTCGGCAAAGAATATGTTGGGCTTTACCGAGACGATGGCCTTGCAGTAATCAAAGGCGTAAACGGCAGGAGTGCAGACAATGCAAGGAAGATCCTGCACGACATGTTCCAGCAATTTGGTCTTAAAATAACGGCCGAAGTTAACCATCAAGTTGTCAACTTTTTGGACATTACACTGAATTTAACCAATGGGAAATACACACCCTACAGGAAACCAAACAACGAACCATTGTATCTCAACAGCCGATCAAACCATCCACCATCAATCATAAAGCAAATTCCCAAATCCATCAACAAACGTATCTCAGCACTTTCTTCCGACAAGCAATCCTTTGATGAATGCAAACCTTTCTACGAAAACGCACTTGGGTTGAGCAATTACAACGTTCCCCTCCAATATTCGTCCAGCTGTCCGCCCTCTCCACCATCCACGAAACGTAAGCGTCAAAGAAACGTCATCTGGTTTAACCCCCCATTTAGCAAATCAGTGAAAACAAACATCGCTCGGATATTCCTACAACTTATCGATAAACACTTCCCCTCTACAACTCCTTTGCACAAATTATTCAACCGAAATACAGTAAAAGTTAGCTATAGCTGCATGCCCAACGTTAAAAGTGTAATATCTCGCCATAACAAGCAAGTTTTATCCAAACCCATAGTCGCTCCAACTCAAGATAATTGCAACTGTAGAAATCCGAAAGAATGCCCTTTGAATAAGAACTGCTTAACTAAAAGCATTGTGTATAAGGCAAGGGTGGCATCAGTCGACGGGCAAATTAAGGAATATATTGGAATGACTGCAAATTCGTTCAAAGAAAGATTCCGTAACCACAAGAAGTCGATTAACAACGAGAAGTATGAAAAGGAGACGAAGCTCTCAAAGTATATCTGGGGATTGAAAAGAGACAATACGGAGTTCGAGTTGAAGTGGTCAATTCTGCGTCATGCTTATCCTCACAAACCTGGTGGAAAGCGTTGTAATCTCTGCATTGAAGAAAAACTTTGCCTTATGAAAGCTGATGAGCATATACTTTTAAACAAAAGATCAGAACTATATGCTAAATGCCGCCATCGCGATAAATTTTATGCTGGAAATTTCAAACGCACGCGCAAACATTAACAGTGCGCGTGAGCCGACCGTTAATCACGCAATCCAACGAACTGAATTTAATCGCCTGAAGATCGAGATAATCGTGAAACTCAGAGTAGCGATAGCTAAATAAATTCATTTTAAGACTTAATTTCATCTACTTATATATATATATATATATATATATATATATATATATTAATATATATATATATATATATATATATATATATATATATTATATAATAAATATATAAATATATATATATATATATATATATATATTATATATATAAATATATATATATATTATATATATATATATATATATATATATATATATATATATATATATATATATATATGTATATATATATATATATACACCCATTTGCAAAAACGTTGGCCGCGGATAGATATATATATGATACTCGATGTCTAATTAGAATTGCATATGATTACATTTTCATGGGATTTCAATCATATTACGCAACATATGCAATATATGTATATATATATATATATATATATATATATATATATATATATTATATATATATATATATATATATATATATAATATATATATATATATATATATATATATAATATATAATATATATATATATATATTATATATATATATATATTATATATATATATATAA